CCGCCTCGCTGGCGACCGGGGGAGGCGCCCTCGCCGTGCTCGCCCCCGCACCTGGGCCCTGCGCCCTGCGCAGGTGAGGCGAGGGTGGGGGCAGGGCGCCCACGCGGCGGCCCGGACTCTGGCAGCCTCTCCGGGAGGCGCGGCTGGGTCTCTGCGGGCCGGGAAGTCCGGCCTCCCACAGGCGGGCTCCGGGCCGGCTCCAGGCAGCGGGGGCGCCGCCTCCTTCTCGATACTGGGACCCGCGCCGCGGGCCCCGGCGGAGCTGAGGAGCCCTCCGGCCCGGCCGGTGGCTTTTGCCTCTCTTGTCCCTTCTGCCCAACACCCAGCGAGGAGCCCTGCGGCCGCCTGCGCCCCAGCCGCGGCCGTCTGATCCGGACGCTGCGCGCCGCCGCCCGGAGAATACCGAGGCCCTGAGCGGCCGCCTGCCGAGCCACGGCTGAACGCGGCAGGGGCGGGGCTCCAGCCGTTCGTTCCGCCCGCGATTGGACGGCCCTTGGGGGCGAGTGCAGAGCGCTATTGGTGAACTGCGGCTTGGGGCGGGACTTGTGGAGGGACAGAAATTGTTTGAAGCTCTGGGATTGGTGCACTGAGAGACTAGGCCCTCCTCCCCGTGAGCGGCGGGTGGGACCCCAGGGGCTGGTAGAGGGACTGGAGCAGCCAAAGCGGTGGGAGGCTGCGGGGCGGGGAGCCTGGGTTAGCAGGGCAGGGAGGAGAGCCTGAGCTGAAGAAAAGAAACGATGATGGGGAGAAATTGTCTGGAAATGATGGCTGGACCGACCTTCCAGTGTCCCTTCGGCCTTGAGCGTTGAGCTCTAAAGCAGGCTCGGAAGATAGTGAGTCCCATGCCTCAGAAGACTGCCACCCAGAGATGTATGGCTGGGGACCCACGCAGGTCTAAGGGTAGAAATGTGCGAAAACTCTGCCACCGCGAGATGATTTGGAGCAGTTTATCTCATAGCCTTGTGACCCAGCCTATCTTGTTCCAGGCTGTTATCTAAGCCTCTTGCTGCCTTTTCATGTCTTGGATAGTTATGGCTGGTCTCCCTGGCTAGACTAACTCCTCAGAGGACAGAGAACACTTAGGGAGCCTCGGATCTATTCCCCAGGCCCTCAGGATTTCATCATCAGTCCTCAGATGCTTAGGGACGCTGCTGTGATTCTGGCAGGGACCCAGTGGGAAGCCTGGTAGGCTTGCTGTCTCTGACCCCTGAAAGCTTAAGGGTGGGTGGAGAAGAAGACCAGCCAGCAGACAGGTAGCCCATAGAGGGAAAACCAGAAGGAGGCTGTGAGAGGCACTGGGAACCCAGACTCCACTGGATGTGGGAATGAGTTGTGCCTGCACTTGTAAATGAGGACCCCCATTGGTGACTGCTTCCAGCTTGAACCACTGGTGGTACATGCATGACTGTCCCATGGGGCAAGTTGTACCACCCCATGGGACTGTCCAAAGCACCTGAGGGGACAAGTCATGCATGTACTACCATCGGTGCTTCGAGACATGAAAATGGCTCTATGGTGAACAAATTAAATCCCTCCACACAAGTTTTACCTTTGCTGCAACTTCAAGGGAGTGTTCATGTCTTCTCATCTGGCTGTGTCTGCTGCTAGAGGGGAAAACCTGTGGCTACCTGAGCCCCGGAGGGAATTTAAGAGGAAGGAGCCAGACAAGGGTATCCCTCCCTCGGGTATCCTTCCCTCTGCTATGACCTTAAGTAACCTCAGGCCACTCCAACAGGAAGTAGGGGTGGGCCTCTCTGTCCTGGTTTGGCTGGTTTATGTCTGCAGTCTTAAGGGTAGAAACCCAGGAAATTTACCTTCCCCATTTTCCACTTGGTACCTGGGCAAGGAGAGAGACTGTGGTGACCAGGATGCTAGATCTGGGGTGAAACAAGCCCTACTTTGTGTCCTGGGACTGCTGTGCATTGGGAATGTGGGATTGGCTGAGTTCAGGCGGTCAGGTCATACAAATTTTGGGTGTGGTTTTTCTTTTTTCTTTTTTGGTGGAACCAGGGATTGAACTCAGGCCCTTGCACTTGCCAGGGAAGCACTTATTCCACTGAGCCATCTCCCCAGCCCCAAGGGGGGGTGTAGTTTTTCATGCATATAAAGGAATCTTGTGGGGATTCTTGCATGCTTCTAATCCTAACACTCTGGAGGCTGAGACAGGAGGATCACTGTAAATTCCAGATCAAGTATAGGCTACATAGTGAGTTCAAGGCCAGTGTAGTAAGACACTGTCTCAAGAACCCAAAACAGGGGGCCGGGGAGATGGCTCAGTAGAATAAGCGCTTCTCTGGCAAGCGCAAGGGCCTGAGTTCAATCTCTGATTCCGAAAGAAAAAAAAACAAGTCTCAGAGGCAGGGCATGATGGTGCACACCTGTCATCCAAGCACTTGGGAGGCTGAGGCTTGGAGGATTGCTGAGTGTCCAAGGCCAGCCTGGGCTGCATGGTGAGTTCAGAATCAGCCTGAACTGCATATTGACAATTGACACCCTATCCCTTTTCCTCTCTCTCTCTCTCTCTCTCTCTCTCTCTCTCTCTCTCTCTCTCTCTCTCTGTATAATTAGTGCATGTTTGCAGTACATAATGATTACATTCACTATAGGAGATTGGTACATGTACAGGACACATTTCAGTTTCCTTCTCCCTTCCCCCAAAACTGTCTCAGAAAGCCTAAATAAATAACTAAAATATGGGGGCCAGGGAGATGGCTCAGTGGAGTAAGCACTTCTCTAGCAAGTGCAAGGGTCTGAGTTCAATCCCCGGTTCCGCCAAAAAACAAAAACAAAAACAAAAAACCAACCTAAAATAATTAAAAGTACCCTCAGGGCCAGGGATGGCGGTGTATGCCTAAAATCTCAGTACCCTGGGGAGGCTGAGGCAGGAGGTTTGACATGAGTTTGAGGCCAGCCTGTGAGTTCAACTACATAATGGGACCTTGTCTCAAAAAATAAAAATAAAAACAAAAAATCTGACACCCTCTGAGCCAGGTGTGGTAGCATATGCCTATAATCTTAGCCCTTGAGAGGTTGAGGCAGGAGGATTGTAAATTAGATGCCAGTCTAGTGATTTAGCCAGATCCTGTCTTTAAAAAAAAAAGTTGGGGGGCATTGGGGATTTAGCACAGTGCAAAGGCCTAGCTTAATCCACAGTGGCAAGAACAAAACAAAAAAGTGGGGCCGGGGAGATGGCTCAGTGGAATAAGTGCTTCCCTGGCAAGCTCAAGGGCCTGAGTTCAATCCCTGGCTCCGCCAAAAAAAAAGAATATTGGGCTGGGGAGATGGCTCAGTAGAATAACTGCTTTCCTGGCAAGCTTAAGGGCCTGAGTTCAATCCCTGGTTCCGCAAAAAAAAAAAAAAAAAA